GAACTTGACCTCCAGGAAAACACATTTGTCATCTTGCTCTATAAGCATCCTCAAGAACCCATCATTCAAATGGTGGAAAGGAGGCAATCCATAGTGGTGCCATTTGCAACACTGAAGACAGGGAGATAGCAGTGTTGGTCATGGACATTTCGGAAAAAAATAATATAGGATGGACTATATGGAGTCTACTGGGTTGATTGGCCACACATGGAGGAAACTTAATTTGTATTAAAATACTATCCTTGTGAAGAGAAAGTGTGCTTAATTGTATTGAATGTGCACTTGTAGTATCCTTAAAATCTATTTTCTTTTCATAAAAACTGTAATTACAGATAATAGTATATCAGTTAAATAAAAGGCCACATAGTGCACTTAGTGTACACTTTCATAACTTTCTAAACACATTTTTAACTTCCTAATGTCAAATGAAAAGTTTTACCTTTACCTAAAGTACATTTTAAATAATTATATTTAATAATCTTTTGTCATGCTTTTATTTTGATGTGTCAACTAACACACTAAAGCACATGTAAAGTAGTTGATTATAATTTTATAATTAGTTTTTTATGCAATTTGATATATTTATTTAATATATTTTAAATATACTTAAACTATATTTGTAATTACACATTTGCAGTTTACAAAGTTGTAATTAATACACAATAAACAAGTTTCAATAGAAATATCATTAAAATATATTTTAGTTCATCATAAATGATTGTATAATGCAGTATTTGGTTGCACACTTTAACCATATATCAATGACAATAGAAGTAAATATAAAATTGCATATATACTTTAGTCTTACTTAAGTGGATCACAAAAACTTGCATTTAATGTAAACTTAAATATAATACATTTTTTAGTGTTCAAAAAATATTCCATTCAGTTCACACTTAAGTATATCTATTAAAGTATATCATTTCCTCAATAAGTACTCTTTTTAAAAGTGTGTACTTGTTTTTTTGTTTGTTTTTTTTCACACATAAATGAAAATCCTGGTACTATTTTACTATTTTTATGTTGTTCCAAACAAGTGTTTATTTTTTTCTGTAGAACACAAAATAAAAACTGTGAAGTTTGTGTATGCTGCTCTTTAGGGCTGTCAAAATAAAATTAGAATTTTGAATATTCATCGAATTTAAAATAAAAATCCACTTTCGAATGCAAAAACGTTGCATTCAAATTTTAGGTGTGCGTCAGGCAGCCTTAACAGTGGCGCACGGGATGCGATGACGATGTAAGTGTCGTTGCATTATAATGTTTTTGTTAGTCTATCCAGTTGAAGCCACCAGATGCGGCGCTGCTGCGTTGTTCATTAAAAATATTGCGAAAAAAGAGAACATCAATGCGGAGAAGATCTTGTTTACATCAAAACTGAAACCAAGCCATTCACACAGAACACATATTTCGCACATTTTCTAGAGAGACATCTATCACTGTTGCACTCGCACAAAAGAGCCGCATGTTTAGAAAGTCATGTAAAATTAATGCAAGTTCAACTTTGAAAAAAAACATATATCGAAACTTTATGGCAGGTTTTTTTCCCCATCCCACTACATCTCATGTTTTTAAATCAAAAATGTACTCTGTGTGATTGGCTTTCCGCCCTTTATATTAAACTATGCATACATAGATTATGCTGTTTTGTTTATAGTTGTTTAAGCAACTTAATTAATTATAATTGGTTTATAAACACTATTTTAAACATTATGCACATTTTTTTTCACAGACAGTCATTTTATCGTATGCGTTGAATAAACGTGCATTGGTAATATTTTGCGCGATGCGCGATCTTCACCCTGACTGAAATTATGCATTTTAAATTTGAATATAATTCGAATTTTGATCATATTTAAGTACAAAATTCGAATTTAGTTTTTCAGCCATTTTGACAGCCCTACTGCTCTTTTTCCTTTAGTAAGTGTATAGTGGCACGATGCTGTCAAGCTTAAAAAAAAACAAATAAATTAAAAATAAATAAATAAATACATAAATCACGACAAAAGTACAGCATATGATTTCATGTTTTCACATTGCACATCTTCAGAAGCCCTACAATAAAAAGGAAAAGACAACAATTTGATTTATACATTTTATATAGTTATTTTCACTGAAAATATTGACATTAGCTGTTGATTTAATATGCAAACTTGCCACATTGTGATTGGTCACACAGAAATCAGTGGTGTTTAATATCATTGACATCAAACCGAAAGCCTTCACACTGAATGTTTGAATATAATTTGAATAATTTAAATTTTCCTGAAATAAAGCTGTCATATGACATTAAACAACTTTTATTAATTAATTAACTACTTCATAAGTATGGACTAATTTAATGTTTATTTGGTAAATGAATAACGAAAGTCATATGGATTTGGAAAAACTTCAGTGATAGTACGAGACATGGTCACACAATGGAACCATAAGTTTGACCAAAGAGATGGATATAAAGGAATGAAAACTTGGTGGGTCCAAGGAGGGGCTCCATTGGATAACTTTAGTTGTCCTCTGGGAGACTTCTTCATTTTAAGTTTAATTATACAGGGTGAGCTTCATGAGCAGTCTCTCATTAGAGTAATACCAAAAGTGATCATTAGAGAGGCCAGTCTGAAATAAGATGCTCGGATATTATACACCCTGACCATCACCATTTCCAGTAGGAAAAAGAGAGGACAAGCCTTTCGAGGAATGTGCATTATAAGCAGGAATTGTATGGTCAGTTCCATGTATATCTGAGAAAATCTCAGGGGAGCACATCACATGTGGACGAGACCCAAGATGACAGTCCCGCCATGGCATTCGCTAACTCTGAACAATAACCCAGCTGGAGTGGATGACTAAACATTGCAGTTTTCATTCAGCTGCACTGTATCTAGAGCCAGTTCTCAATGTCCCATCCCACTGGAGACTATCTCCAAGCTTTGTTTGCACAGATGTTTGTAGGACCTCTGTTTGACTGTGTGGTCTTCACACACAGATACAGGAAATTCCATACAGTATGTTGTTTCTACGGCTCCTTGTAGTTTGTATATGTAAGCTATGACATAATTAAATTGTTTGCAAGTATGCCATTTCTAAACATTCCTTATCCACAGCCATCAGTTAGCCTGGTGTTTGGAAACAAATTGCACTTAAGTAAGAAAACTCACACTGCCGTTATTTCTGATATGTGAGCTTCAGCTGAACCCTATAAATCAAGGTAAAGTGCACAGCGTATCTGGAGCTGAGATAATGTGAATTTCTCGTTCTTGTGTCGGGGTGTTCTGGTATTTTAGTATCGGCTAGTGTTGTCTATCATGGAATTAATTTAATGAGAAAAGTGATGGATGTGTTAGGTTATATTAATTTTTGAAGGATGATACTATCATTCACTGTATCACAGACCTAATGTAGACTTAGAGTCACTTAAGCATATTGCTCTGGGTGGCTTACTGTGAAGTGGGACATGTTGCTGGATCAGCATCCTTGTTGGTTTTGGAACAGCATTCTTATAAACCAGATTTTTCTAAATAGGGTGAGGATTGGGGACATGACGACCTTTTTAATTAAACTATTTCCCACTGATTTTAACGATAGTGGTTAGGGTTTGAGAAAGTGTTGTTTTGGAAGAAAAGTTGTTCTAGAACCAACACAATATGTTTATCCAGGAGGTTTTGGATTTGATTACATGGATATACATCCGCCGACCAACCCAGTCTCATGAGAAAGTTACCTAAATAACCTAAAATGTCAGAGTTTGGGCTTTGTTTTCCTACTGTTTTCATACTTGCCTAAGGTAATGCCTGAAAAGTAGTTTGACCAATAGCATGCAGGTATTGTACATAATTGACCAATCATGGATTGCAAGAAGGTGGGATCTACAGAAAACAGTCAAAGCAATGGAAATACACCTAAATATAATGTATGAAGATTGTAGAGAGATCAATATAAATACAAAGCCAAAACTCAGGGTATATTTTGAACATTATTTCGACCTATTTCCCACTCATTTTAAGCAAAGGGGTTTGAGAAGGAGTTGGGACTGTTGTTTTGGCATAAAAGTTGTTCTATGAACCAACACATGTTTCTTCAGTAGGTTTGGTTACAGTACATGGATATAAGCTCATCTGATCAACCTAAATTCATGAGAGTACTTTTTTTTTTTTTTTACAAATCTGTGATTTTGAAGGATCTTGTACCATTTGATTTGTACAAAAATGTATGATTTTTTATAAAAAAGCATGAAGCTCAAACACCCTAACCACTCCTAAAGCTTACCTTGAGTGGGGAATGAGCAGATCCTATGAAATCATAGAAATGTTTACAAATTCACCATCAATTTGCCAACAGTTGACACTTTCATGGAATGTTCTCTTTCACTGAGGAGGTTATAACTGGGCTGCAGTGGGTTTTTGTGTAGTCAAGCTATAGGTTTATCTGTCTGTCCAAACACAGCTTTTTTGCATAGTCAAGCTAGTTTTCATCAGTCTTTCTAAATAGACATGACACAACACGTAATCAAATGTCTGAAGGATTTGCAAGCCTGTCTGTCTTTCAGACCATGCTCAAAACGTTGAGGCCAGTTGTATACAGTTTGCGTGAAGCCAAGGTACTATTTAAGTCTGTTAGTCTATCGTGGAATTAATTTAATGAGAAAAGTAATGGATGTGTTAAGTTGTATTAATCTGAAGTATGATACTATTATAATTAAGGTACTTGGACTCGGATTTGGACTCAGACATTTGGATTTTTATTTTTTTATTATTATTTTATTATATTTTTTTTACATTTATGTATGTATGTATGTATGTATTTAATGAATGAATGGAGTGCACTCAAATCCAGACTACAATGTTCTTGGCCACTTAAATATATTGCCTTGAGTGGCATATACTGTCTCTTTCCCAGACATGCCCTGGCCAATATTTCTAAATTGTCTAAAATGTTCAGGCTTTGGCTTTGTTTTCCTATTGCTTTCACACTTGTTGAAGGTAATGGCTGAAAAGTAGTTTCAGCAAAGCCAAAACTCAGACTTTTTAGGCAACTTAGAAATCCCGGCCAGGGCATATCCAGGAAAAAGAGGACATGCGGTCAACCTACCTAAACCTAACCCTCAGCCAGCAGATCTTATGAAAACATACAAATGATATCATAGAAATTCATATGAATTCACCACCAATTTGACAAAATGTAAAATAGTTATGAATGGTCATGATAGTATGTTGGCTTTGACACTTCCAGGGAATGTTCTCTTTCAATGAGGTTTAAATGCACAGTTATAATTGAGCTGCCGTGGTTTTTTTTTGTGTAGTTAAGCTATAGTTTCATCTGTCTGTCCAAATAAACTTGACATAACATGTAATCAAATGTTTGAAGGATTTGCATGCCAGTCTGTCTTTCAGAGCATGCACACAAGAGTGAAGCCCATAGTAGCCTGATTGACATGTATATACATACTGGATGAAGCCATGGTACTATATAACCTATTAACTCTGCTGTTAGTCTATTGTAGAATTAATTTACTTAGAGAAGTGATAGATGTGTTAGGTTGTATTAATTTGAAGGGCAGTACTATAATTCATTGTATCATAGACCAAATGTGGACTATGATGTTCTTGATTGCTTAAATATATTGCCTTGAACAGCGTGATTCTGTCAAATGAGACAGAATCATGAGGAACAGCGCTCATATAAACCAGATCTTTAAAACAACATTCTTATTAACCTATTTCCCACTGATTTTAAGCATAGTGATTGGGGTTTGGAAAGGGGTTGGTACTGTTGTTTTGGCAGAACAGTTGTTCTAGAATCTATCCGACAAGTTTCTCCAGGAGGTATTGGATTAGAGTACATATATAGTACGTTATATAAAATCTCTGACAAACCGAATCTCACGAGAAAATGTAGCTATTTTACAAAACAATTTTGTGTAATTATACTTTATACTTAAAATACTGAGTAATATTAATTAACTACATATACTTACTATATGGTTAGGGTTTGGTTTAGGGCTACTTGTATTTAATTATGCATAATGCATTGGTATTATAATAGTAAGTACATGTAACGTGTAATAATGACACCGTAAAATAAAGTGTTACCAAAATTAAGCATGAAGCTCCAACACCCTAACGCCACTCCTAAACCTAACTACTAGTGGGGGTTGAGCAGATTGTACGAAAACATACAATGAGATCATAGAAATTCAAACGACTTCACTACCAGTTTGCCAAAATGTAAAATAGCTACAAATGGTCATAATGGAGTGTTGAACATGACACTTTCATGGAATGTTCTTTTTCACTGAGGAGGTTATAACTGGGCTGCAGTGGATTTTGGCATAGTCGAGCTAGTTTTCATCAGTCTTTCCAAATACCATGTTGTGTAGACATGACACAACGTGTAATCAAATGTTTGAGGATGTGCTTGCTGTCTGTCTTTCAGAACACGCTCACAAGGGCGAGGCCAACTGTTGCCCGATTAACTGTAAACCGAACAGTACTACTAACTTATAAAGATTAAGAACACTGCAATTAAAGTCTGTTAAATCGTTGATGCAACTTATAACAATTACATTTTCTGAACGAGGAATTTAGTTTTATTTGTGTGTGGCTCAACAGTTTTGAGTAAACTCTTCTATTTAAATTATTATTTTTAAGTTTACTGAGTGACGTAAAGTGACGTCACGTCGTTGCTCTAACCGACGTTCAGAAGAATCCATTCAACATGGCGGATAATCGCAAGCGACCGGAGCAAACTTAATGGAACAACTTGTAAGTAAATCAAAACAACTGTGAAAATTTCTTATTTGCTTTTTTAGTGTTGTAAGAATATCATGATAAAGGAATGTTTCCATTTTTGGGAAACGCTGTTTTTACACAGCGTTGTAAAGCGCGGCATTTCCCTAGTGCTTTTGAATGCGCATTTTGAATGCTATTTTAGCGTCACTGCTTATAGTATAATGTTAACGTCAAAGAAGGGCACTAATGTTAACGTTAGCCGGCATTTTTTCAGTAAACGCAGTCCTAACGTACGTTTTGAATGTCGCTGCTGTTAACTGCAACGTTTAGGGCTGCGTTTCTCAAAAGCATCCTGAGCTAACATTAAGTCGATTGTTGAGACCATTTGGTGGCAAATGTTTCAACGATCATCTTAGCCATATCGATCATCTTGCTTTTTTTGGGAAATGCCCTGGTAAATGTGATTTTTATTTGGTCTGTTTTTAAAACAACTAGCTGGCTCAGACTATTAATCCAAATTTAGGTTAAAGCTAATACACAGACATGAGTTTTGCAATATATTAAATTTACAAAATCAATATACAAACTTGTAGTAAACCTTTACAAACTTTCTTTAATTGCAGGCTGAGCTGGATGCTGAATACAAAAGAGTGAGCCTCAACACTTAAGGTAACGTTAACTTATATTCAGTTGAAGAGCAAGTTGTGTGATGTGTCCTGACGTAACAGGACACAGACTCGGCTTTCTCTTTTCTACATCCATTGTTGGTTATACACTTACTTGTGCGTGTTTGTGGTTTTCTAGGTTTGTGCTGAGTTTCACCATATCAGAGAAAGTGGCACACACCAGCAAGATTTCACAGATGTTGCATGATATTCTAAAAGTTTGATCTTCAGGTGAGTGCAAATTCACAAACACTAACTACCTCCATCACTGTCTTCACTGTATATAAAATAAAGTTGGCCTGCTTGTTTAACATGTTTTTTTTTTTTACATGATGTCAACATGAAACGAGCCCTTCATGCTCTCCCAGTGTACGTGTGTGAGGAGAACTGTTCTTCAGGACATGGAATGTAAGTATTAAGTGCATTAATAGATCTGAAAGAGTGGGGGAACTATGACGTCAGAACCAGGAAATGTAATTCGCCGGAGGTTCCTTTGAGATTTTCCAATGGGTTTTTTTTAATGGGGTTTTTCAATTTATGAATAAAATAGAGCCTGTGGTAAACATAACTTGACGGTACTTCTACGTTTTGTTCTACAATGTAAACTGCACACACTCACAACCTAGACCTTCTTATCTAGCTACTTATTAAAAACATACGTTTTCAAAAATGAACATAACTGCTTCAAAAATGTTATTTTGTGTATGGATGTGTGTAATTTACGTTGTACAACAAAACATAAAAGTATCGTCAAGTTATGTTTACCACAGGCTTTATTTTAATTGAAAAACCCCATTATAAAACCCCATAGGAAAATCTAGAAGGAACCCACGGCGAATTACTCTTCCGGGTTCTGACGTTATAGTTCCCCCACTCTATTGGCAGTAAATATAAATGTCTACTTTTAGTCTCTGAAGTTAAAGTTAAAGTTTTACCCTCTGTGCTTATTCCAGGAGGAATTGGGCATGCCAGACATCACTGACACAAACACCTCTCCTGCTGATTTTGTTATCATGGACAACGAAACCACTACAAGTCCTGCAAGCACTGCAGTTGTGATGAGATAATCTTCCAGTGTTTGACATTCAGAAATACACAGTTCTTGCGGTTTAAAAAAGGCTGAATAAAAAATCCTCAATTTTATAGCCACAGTTGTGCGTGTTTTTTATGCATGTGTATTTTTTGAGTTAGTATTTGTATTTAATAAAGCACCACTGCATCAAAATAACTGGTAATTGAAAAACATTATGTATTTCAAAACAATAATTTTAAGTACACTGCACTTAAACATTAAGCAAAAACAAATTTAAGCTTTTTAGTTTGACTTAATTATTATTTATAATTAATGTTAACTTAAACATTTTGAGTTGCTTAATTACATTTTTTGAGGTAATCGGTGTCCACAAAAATGTTGAGTATTCTGAACTTACCGGGTTTTACAGTATACATGTTAAATGAAGTCAAGGTACTATAGTCCAGCTTCACAAAAAAAAATAAATAAATAAATAAAGGCTGGTACACTTTCAGTCATGCTAAAGCATTAACATGACATTTTAATAAGACAAATGTCTGTTTTAGTATGAAATCAAACTTTTGAAGTGCATCGCCATTAAATCAAAGTACCCAATCTGAAGCTGAGGTAATGTGAATGTCCCATTCTTGTGTAGGGGTGTTCTGGTATAAAGTATTAGCTAGGAGAGTCAAAATGTCTTCATTTAAAGATAAAAGCAATAGATATGTTGGGTTTTATTAAGCTTGTATCAGAACTGGTCAGAATAAAATGAATGGAGAAATCATACTTAAGTTACAGTATGGGTATTATGAACTTACTAAGTGCTGTATATCTTTCTAAAATAATATTTAAGTGAAAGTACAACAGTATATCCAAATTTCTGGCATTAAACGCTAGATGGCACAGTCTGATAGGACAAACTCAATCTGACGAAATGACATCATTATCACATGGCGCAGCTGATTGGTTCTTTTTATATCAGTGGCCAATGAGCTTGCTGCACAACATTCAAATACTTGGCTAGTGCTTGCTGTAGCAGTTGCAGCACACTTCAGAAACCCTCCACCTTCCCCAGCTCCACCTGTATAGATTTGCTACAGGGTGATTCATGTATGCTATGGGGTTAATTCATATACAGTATGTTATATGTGCAGTAGCAGTATTTCTTAGATGCTCACCGCAGCATGTTGTGGATGTATTGGCAGTAGCAAGTCTCAGTACTTGCTCTGCTGCAGCAGCAGCAGCGTAGCAGATCTATTCTGCCTAGAGCCCTGCATTTCAGCTCGGGCCCAACGGCCCTGACTTTTTTACGCCCCTCAGGCGGGCTTCGGGCCAATTTTCACGTCATAGTTCAGACGTGGGCCGGCCTCGGGCCTGTTTTAGGCTTCTCCTAATTTTAATATTTTAGACATCCATCAATTAGTGATGAAAAAACTTGCAGCGCTGGTGGAAACAAAACGAGATTGTGCTACAGCGACTGTCAAGAGCGGCTCTGTTTAGTGTCCCGCAGCAGCATGCGTGCTGTCAGCACAGCTGAAGAGTTCTGCGTTCAAATGCACGCAACAGGCTAACGCTTGCCGCAAAGCCCCAGCAAAAGTAATTACCATGAATGTGTCAGATGGAAATATAATATAATAATATTTGAATTATTTATTAATAAACTAGTGTTTTCTGAGTCCGTGTCGCAAAGATGATGACGATCCTGACTCGCCATCTCCTCATTAGATACTTGGCTTTAGAGAGAAGTGCATCTTTACGGATTATGATTATAATGAAAGAGTTTTTGTTTTCAATTTGTTTTATTTTGTTAAGTGGTAATTTAAAGCTTTCTATAGATATATTTATCATGTCTGTGAGGCATGTATTCTCTGAGTTTCGATTCATTTTTGTGAAGAGCTCCTGTTCATGACGAGATGGCAGGAAGCACATCATGTTTGTTTTCTTTATTTTATAAAAGCACAACGTTTTGTTGATATTGTGAGTGCACACAAATACAAGTAAACCCTTTACAGTTCCGAATGATGTATTACTCTTACCTTTATGAGCAAAAATGACGACGTAGGCTATTTTAAGTTGTTTCCACTGCAAGTGATTGCGCTGGCGCGTCCATGTCCTGCAAAGCGCGCTTTAGCTTCCACTCTCCGCACAAACTTGGATATAGCGCACATTTACAGTATTATAGCGCAGGTTTAACGTTTAAACATTGTTATATGCTTGAACTGTTTTAGTATATCTAGATTTTATTTTAGGCAAGTCATGATGTTTTGCGAAGGCTAAATTGATCAAACATAGGCTATGATCAGGGCTGCGTTTCCCAAAAGTTTCGTAAGCCTAAGAAGTTCGTAAAAACGATCGTACGACTGATCTTAATATTACAGTCTGTTTCCCAAAAGCATCGTAACTTAAGTAGCACTTGAAAATCATCGTAGATCTTCGAGTGCTCTGGAGTAATCATAAAGCCCTAAGTGCATCGTAAGAAGACAGATTTATGCGGTCACCTGCAGGACAATCGGCAGATTGCACCTTTAACTTTATTCAAGTGCAATGTGATTATAATATAACGTTTTTATTGCACTTTAGTGTAAACTTTATTGCTCGTTTTTTTATGAAATTATAAATGAAATAATTAAAAAGGGCGGATAAAATAGAAATACACATCTAAATTAAATGACTGAACAACAAAAAAATGAATAAAAGAAGTAATGTAATTGCTGTAGCAGTTGCAGCACACTTCAGAAACCCTCCACCTTCCCCAGCTCCACCTGTATAGATTTGCTACAGGGTGATTCATGTATGCTATGGGGTTAATTCATATACAGTATGTTATATGTGCAGTAGCAGTATTTCTTAGATGCTCACCGCAGCATGTTGTGGATGTATTGGCAGTAGCAAGTCTCAGTACTTGCTCTGCTGCAGCAGCAGCAGCGTAGCAGATCTATTCTGCCTAGAGCCCTGCATTTCAGCTCGGGCCCAACGGCCCTGACTTTTTTACGCCCCTCAGGCGGGCTTCGGGCCAATTTTCACGTCATAGTTCAGACGTGGGCCGGCCTCGGGCCTGTTTTAGGCTTCTCCTAATTTTAATATTTTAGACATCCATCAATTAGTGATGAAAAAACTTGCAGCGCTGGTGGAAACAAAACGAGATTGTGCTACAGCGACTGTCAAGAGCGGCTCTGTTTAGTGTCCCGCAGCAGCATGCGTGCTGTCAGCACAGCTGAAGAGTTCTGCGTTCAAATGCACGCAACAGGCTAACGCTTGCCGCAAAGCCCCAGCAAAAGTAATTACCATGAATGTGTCAGATGGAAATATAATATAATAATATTTGAATTATTTATTAATAAACTAGTGTTTTCTGAGTCCGTGTCGCAAAGATGATGACGATCCTGACTCGCCATCTCCTCATTAGATACTTGGCTTTAGAGAGAAGTGCATCTTTACGGATTATGATTATAATGAAAGAGTTTTTGTTTTCAATTTGTTTTATTTTGTTAAGTGGTAATTTAAAGCTTTCTATAGATATATTTATCATGTCTGTGAGGCATGTATTCTCTGAGTTTCGATTCATTTTTGTGAAGAGCTGACGAGATGGACGAGATGGCAGAAAGCACATCATGTTTGTTTTCTTTATTTTATAAAAGCACAACGTTTTGTGAGTGCACAGTGCACACAAATAAAACTAGCCCCTTTACAGTTTAGAATGATGTATTACTCTTACCTTTATGAGCAAAAATGACGACGTAGGCTATTTTAAGTTGTTTCCACTGCAAGTGATTGCGCTGGCGCGTCCATGTCCTGCAAAGCGCGCTTTAGCTTCCACTCTCCGCACAAACTTGGATATAGCGCACATTTACAGTATTATAGCGCAGGTTTAACGTTTAAACATTGCTATATGCTTGAACTGTTTTAGTATATCTAGATTTTATTTTAGGCAAGTCATGATGTTTTGCGAAGGCTAAATTGATCAAACATAGGCTATGATCAGGGCTGCGTTTCCCAAAAGTTTCGTAAGCCTAAGAAGTTCGTAAAAACGATCGTACGACTGATCTTAATATTACAGTCTGTTTCCCAAAAGCATCGTAACTTAAGTAGCACTTGAAAATCATCGTAGATCTTCGAGTGCTCTGGAGTAATCATAAAGCCCTAAGTGCATCGTAAGAAGACAGATTTATGCGGTCACCTGCAGGACAATCGGCA